CCCCCCCCCCCCTTCTCCTGTATTTAGGTCTTAAAAAGTTTTGGCTTCATTTCAGTTTCCCTGAAAATCACAAAATGTACTTTCTGTCATTCAGGGACTCTTGCTGTGGAGCTGCTTTGATTTCAAAGGAATGTTACCTATTGTGACAAGTGAAACGAATGTTAGGCAAATTTTCTATAGGTTTTAAATCCTGTTCCGTATTTGTTCTGTAATCCTCAGGTAAAAATAGTCAGTTAGAAAATCTAGAAGGCTGGAAAGATGAATTTACAGAATGGACATTCTTTCCCAAACTGTCTCTCGGAGGTTGTCTTCCTGCACGAGAGGTAGCAGGAGCCAGAATATGGCAGAGCCTAAAGCCAACCTGTTCCAACAAGCTTCATCTTCCTTTGTACCAATTTACAAAGAATGGGTCCTCACGCAAGCATTTCAAATCCAGAGACAAATTTGAAAAAAAATTGCTACAACATGTTGACTGATTCCTTGCCAAGTCAGCCACTGAGAACATTTTCTTGATTGACTCTTACACAGAGAAAATTAAAGGGGTTTGAGGAGGACACATACCTTTATTATAAAAAAACAAGTAAATTTCACAATACCCTAAGTCCCTCTCTCTCTTAGACTTTTCTCTCCGACTTTTATAGCCCCTCTTTTCTTCCCTTATCTTCTCCCCCTCCTGCCTTTCCTTTTCCTTTCTCTTCTAATTATAAACTCTGTTCTAACGTACTCATTTGTACTTTTAGTATCAATACAATGATATGTTCTGGAGAAATAGCTTTGCAAAGATTATATTCAGATATACAGGTTCAAAACAGCGGAGAAGTTAAGAACGTTTTAAAAACATGCTTGTCAGCAGTGGAAAGAAAGCTGTTTGTAGCCAGCAGGTGAGCTGGAGAGTACTACAGGGTGTGGTAGAGATAGTAATAAATTAACTAGCAAGCCAAAAACTATAAAAAAAACCCAGCTATTTCATAGCATAGAAGCATGACAGCTATGAAAAAAGGAGTGCCCCAGGGAATTCTTTTAGAGTTTGATTTTTTAAAATATGTTTGACATGAAAAATGTTTTAGTACAAATAAAGCAACTGGTATTAAACTTACGGGGTGGGGGGGGGGAGTTGTGGTTTAGAGTTAGCATGAATAATGCATGATATTTAAAGAAAGAATTGCTCTAAAATGTTCCGGGAGGCGGTCCATGTTGATGGTTGCAATGGTGATTTTTCTCCCTATTTTTGAAGCATCATTAATTCAGCATCGTTTCGTGATTTTTTTTTAGCCTGATAAGATATCGACCAAAGAAACACTATTTGACTCAGATGAGAATATTCTTTCATCAGATAATTTAGTTTAAAATCAAGGAGATCAGTAGAATTATTTAAGCATAAAGCGACAGTCACTTACTATAAAAAATAATTTGGCTAGTTATCTTTTTTAAAAAGCTCATGTAGCACTGCAAACCAAAATCAACCTCATGGAAGGGGAAAAACAAGATCAGATATTTTGAACATTACTCCATAGGAGACCAGCACAATATAGTGTTAGTGAGTGCATTGTAGCAGCGCTCCATATGCAATCAGAAGCCAATTGTTACTGGACTGTATACAAGCACACTGTGCTCAATGGTCTGATGAGGTATTATGGATATGATGCAAAGAGACTGTGTAGATTAGAAGCGAACAATTTGTTAAAAGTGAAAGCAACTTACCATTTACATTGGGCCAGCTGAGTAGCACTTCATGTGGCAAGCAGGATGAGTTCCAAGGAGCCAGGGGCGTCAGGAAGGCTCCAGGTATTGGTGGCCACGCAGAAAAAAAAAGAAGAGATTTCATTGCTTTCCAGTTGACTACCTTTATTACTGTGATTCTTTCTACACCGTTTCTTCATTATCGCATTCAGCTTTCAGTGTGGAGAAGTTCATGCAAAACAGCATGATTATTATAAATGTCAAAAATGTGTGGAGGAACAACCTATTAAAATATAACCTGGAGATAATACATAACACCGACTTTATATAAGTAGCCAAAGCCAAAGTGATACTATACTCCATTTCATCACTGATATTGTGTAATTTATCCACAAGTATTAATTTTGACCTCAGTTACCACCATCACAATACATTCCTCGTCACTTTCTCTTGGTCCTCAGGTCACTGCACACAGCCTGTGTTCTCAGGTCACAGACAGCACCCAGTCCCCCTACTTAGGAGTGATCTGGAGTCCAAACCATGTTAAGATGTAGCATTGAACTTTGCTGAACCATGCTCAATCTTTTCCAGACTTTTCGTGTAGATATTCCATGTCAAATGCGTGATTATTTCATCAAATCATCATCAAGGAGCAAGCAATAAGTGCCTCGTGTGCATGGTTTGGTACTGGGATCCACCAGGAGTTAATCCAGAAAAATAATGTTTCTACTCCCATTGGGATACCAGGCATTTCACAGAATGTTGACAGATAAGATGAGCTTCCCGCTCACCCCTATCAAATTGAAGAGGCTGCATTTTTAAAATTTTTCTGTTTTTTTAATGAAATAAAGTTTAGGGTTATGGACAGTCAACATTATAATCTTTTTGGGCTTTAACATTTTGCCTTTCCGACCAAGCCAAACTTTCTGTTGTTCTAATACAAAAGCCTTAATGCTTTCTCGGTGAACTGAGTGTCAGCTTGGCTTTAAGATGTTTTTTTACTCTTAAAAAAATGATGTATTACAAGATTTGTAATGGAGTGAACATGCTTGAATTGCACATTAAATTTTTTTAACACCACATTCATGTTTTGCCAGTTTGCCTACCAGCTATCTGTTAACAAAAAGTTCCAAGGCAGCACTGCAAGTCTGTGCCCAACTAAGCCTTTTGTTTCTGCAGATGTTTGGGCTTAGAGCAATGTTGTAAAGCTCAGGCAATCCAAGGGCCATGTTTGTACTTGTCTGCTGCGATTCCCTGTGCATTGTCTAAACCTGTATGCATTGTTCTTTCCGACAGGTGATAACTACCCCGTACAGTTCATTCCATCAACAATGGCAGCTGCTGCTGCTTCTGGACTCAGCCCTTTACAGCTCCAGGTAAGTGCCAGAAGAAAAAAATGTGGGACAGGAGCCAGGACTTTAGTGGAAAACTGCTAACCAGCTGTATGCTAAATAATGGCCTGAATGTTAAATAATTTTTTAAGCATAGCCTAGGAGGATTAACACCTTATGTACTCACCATACTGCAAATAGAAAAGTGCCAGTTTCAATATTTTTAAAGGAAAAATGACATGATGACTTGGTACTTTCTATTCTCTATCAGGCGAGTTAATGGTTTTACAATTTCTTTATGGCTAGTTGTTATTGGCTGTGTTAGCTTTTTCCTTGTCAATTTTCCATCCATGTCATAATTTACGCCAAATTAGCTTTTACATATAAGCATCAAAACAGAAAACCATGCTGGACGTTTTCCATCCAGCAGCTGAGAGAATTGGGCCGGCGTTACCGAGTTATCTTAGCTGTTTGGTGAAACGTAGCACATCGCGCCTGAGTGTGTGCGGCCACCTCATCTCTCCCTCGCCCCAGGCCCGGCCGGCGTCCCCCAGCTCAGGACTCGTGCTCTCTACTTAAAAGCTAAACGTGGGGTGAGTGTTCAGGAGGCTAAATAAAAACGCCATGCGCACCGTGCCCTCGTCACGGTAAGAGGAAGGGTTCACAGTAGGGCCACAGGATCTTCTTAATGGGAAATGGACTTTAAATATGAGTATGTATTTTAACAAAAAGATAATATTTAAAAAATGGTTAAACCTTCAGAATTTAAACATTTAGAAAATATGTGACAACTTTAAGTTCAGTACAGTGAGAGTTTAAAGATAGTATTTTATTCTTGTAATTTACTGTGATTCTTTTTGAGTTCTCTTTAGTAACCTAGGGAGTAGCACCTGGCCGGGCATTTTACTTCCTTCTTTGCTGTTCCCTACGTAATTTCCGTATTAAAAATGTGAGCATTTTACCATGAAAAAAACATTATTTTGAGCATTTGAATTGGGTCTGCAAATAAGGATTTTTGCAGTGCTCTGCGAAGCGTTTATGCTAAGCGTCATCCAGAACGCCTTGAAGATGTTGCTTGTTGTGGACTGCCTAGCAGAACTAGAAATTTTGCCTTATAGGAGCAGCAACCCCACCTCTCTTCCAAACCTTCCCCCTCCCCACTACTAACACTGGAACTTACTGATGCTGGTAAACTCTAAAAGAAGCTTCACTAATAGGAAACCTAATCTGTTTCTCCTTTTTTGATAGCTCTGCTATAGAGTGTACCCTTGAGTCAGAGGCAGGACTAAGAACCAGTACCATTGTTTGATCTTATAACCGAGTTTCTATGAAGGAGCATCTGGGTCCTAAACCTTCTACTTCCTATTCTTTGTTGTGGTCAATACCCTGGATTTAGAAATATGTGTTCTGTTTCATGAGTTCTGACAGTATGTTTTGTCTTTTTTTTTTTTTTTCTGAATATGCTACTAAACAGAAGGGTCATGTCTCCCACCCACAAATTAACCCAAGGCTAAAAGGCCTAAGTGACCGTTTTGGCAGGAGTTTGGACACCTTTGAACATGGTGGTGGCCACTCTTACAACCACAAACAGATTGAGGTATGAATACTTCCATTGATGCTTCATTGGGCGGGGGACTGGATTGTTCAGTCATGTTCTAGGCTTTTTGAAAAAGGGGTGAACACTAAACCTAAACACTAAAACAATAATCATTTACTATTTCTTATTCCTAAGGAGGCTCATTTTTGCCCCGTTTCTTTCATAAAAAAAGGCAAATGTCAAACCAATGCCCCTGAGTTAGGTTGTTAGTTGCAATCTATGTATTTAGGCAAATTCTTTACATTATGAATGTCTTCAAACCATCTTTATTTCCCTTACTTCTTTTATTTTTTTAATGTATAGTGATGTATAATGTTTAAAAAACACTTGAACTATTAAAAAATATCTCATTGGACCATATAATAACCCTGTAAAGTTGATAGAATATAATTCTGCTTGTACAAACAGCTGAGGTTCGGAGAGGCCAAGTTATTTGGCCAAGGTTACAAAATATTCACAGAGTCAGAATTTTTACCCAGGATTTCTAGCTCTACCTAATTCAGGTTTCCTAACTCTGTTTTCTCAGGCTGAAGGAGGAATGGGTGCCTGGGCCTGACTAGTTGCTTTTTGCCCCATAAACTTTGATAGTGTTCCTTTTATATTTAACTTCCAGTAAAGTTTTTTTTTTCTGTATGTGGGGGTATTCTTACTATTGGGATAAGGTGGCTTAAATGGCTCTTTGGAAAACCAAGCCCTTCTCTTCTACAGGGACCTAGTCTTTCTCTAATTTCATGCTTGATTCCTCTCCTGTATCATCAGTGTTCCTCTCTGGGACTATCAAGTACTGGAGAGTTGCCAGCTATCTGTTGAATCACACAAAAATGGAGACAGGTTACCTCAGACTGAAATACACTTTGACTTTCGGGTTAGATGTAATACTACATTTTATATTCTAACCTAGGATGGGAAATTCATTTAAAAGAAGAAAGAAAATAATTACAGCCAGCAAAAGTTGTATATTTAGCTTCTATTGGCTCTGCCAGTCTATACATTTTAAATGCTATATACTCAGTCAAGTGTCTGTTTGATGTCTCCTCTGCGGCTTTTGAATCTGCATGTTTGGAAAATGATAAAGTTTGCTCCTAAGAAGAAAGAAGACGACACGATCAAAGGCCACCTTGGGAATAGCCTAGGGAAGAGCTCCGAGCTTGTTGCCCACCTTCCTCCTTCCCTTTCGCTTTGATGTACAAGGTGTACAGGGGGTTTCCACCCAGACATGACCGGACATATACTCCTGGAGTATCGGCTGTCTTCCATACAGCCAGAAGGGATTTCTTTTCTAAGGCTTTTGGATGTAGAAAAGGTGCCATATTTCTGGACATTCTGAAAATCTACTATGTTTAGGATTGATTGCTAAATGGAGAGAGAACTGGACATTAAGAACAAACCTTTGTGTGTGATGACAGTCAGCAAGCTTACTTTTCAGGACAGATAGTTTGTTAAACTTTCAAGTGCTTGAAAGAATGTGAAAGCAGCTGGCCTTGGCACAAATGCAAGACTTCCTCTCCTCTTTTACTTCTTGAGGTGTTGAGGTCTATCCCATCATACTTCTCTTAGCTAGTTTTCTACCCAACTTTTCTTTCACTAATTTTTCAGGAGTCTCTTATGTTTACTTCCTTCCATCACAACATCACTAGCCCCTGATGCTGCCAAGTCTGGCTTCTGCTGGGCTTTTGATACCATAATGTCATACATGTGAGGGCCAGATCTGGGTGGTGCTATAGCAATACTGATTGAGAAGCACAACATATGCCAATGTCTGTCACTTTTATTAGGCTAAATAGAGAATCCATTAAACCACGAATCTTCACAGCTTTGCAGTTTAAGTTTGGACTGGTTTGAGAGTTTCCTAGGTTTTTATTTATCCTTGCTCTGTTTTCTTGCTCCCATTTTTTGCAACTTCCCCCTGCATGTCAAGAAACCTTTGTTCTGTTTGCTTGTATGCTACACTAGTTAGAAATGATTGACCTTGTTTAAAATGCAGATTTCCCAGACTTTCCAGCTATTAGTCTAATATGTTTATTGGGACATTTATGAACATCACAGTACACTCATATCTAAGCTGCTACAGACATTAACATTTTAAATCATGAGCAAAAATAGAGAGAAAATTTAATTATATATTGCTTTATTGATTTTAAAGTCTGCTTTCTTTTCTCCCCTTCTTTGACAAGCTAAAATGTCACAGTTTGGTCAACAATCATGATCATGATAAACTGTTGATACTAAGGAAGCATTATAAGTATGGTAACTGGTTTTATTTCTAAACAGAGATTCTTAGTAAGAAAAGTCCACAACACATCCATATCACTACCACCCCCACCCTCTCCACACACACCCTGCTGCATTGTTCAGAACTGGTCCTGTCTGATGTTACAGTTAACTTATACTTTAGAGGTTGTCACTTCTAGCATTAATTAGCCTGGGTAAATCTTAACAGCATTTATAGTCATACCCTGAAGCCTAAAATTTTGTTATCAAGTAGAGAAAAGGTATTTAAAGTGGAAAGACTCTCCTTACATTGGTGTATTCGAGTTCTTTATTTGGAATAAAGAAGATGCAGGAAAGATTTTTGTTTTGTTTTGTTTTCTGTGCTAATGTAAGGCATGATTTTCTCTGCCTCAGGGGCACAATATTAGAAGAGAGCAGGCCAAAGAATGCTATTTTTAGTTGAACAATTCAGCAGATGGAGTCATGAATACTCATATATCTGAAGGTTGAAGGGCTTGAACCATTAATTTTGATAATGTATTTAACCCTGGGAACAATCAGAAACTGTAACTCTAAGGTTACAGTGCTTTTGACCTTTAGAGAACAGAGGGCATTTGCTACAGTAAACAATATATTATATTGCTACTTATTCCAATTCTCTACCCGTATAAATTTCAGGACCAGTTGCCATTTGCTTTCCTCAGCTATGTTAGCATTGGTCCTTCAAGTAAGTCAAAAAGAATGTTAAGGAAGGGGGGACCAGTATAATGAGGCAGTCATGTAAATATGGCCTTTAAATAGCTAAGATGTTAGATTGTTTCTGAATAAATATTGTCTTAGAAACTAAGCTCTGAATGACTTTTTTTTTTTTAAGGAAAAAGTGGTTTCAGTGTATTGATTCATTATATGTGATGACTTTCAATATGATATATCTTTAAGGTGATCTTGTTTAGTTTTGTGTTTAATTGGGAGTGATGTTGCCTCGTAGTTGTAGCTTATAGTAAACGCAATCTGGTACCATGTCATGCAAAGTGATACACCTGTCTCATGCCTTCTTATTAAATGATACATGCTCTCTTTCACAAATATAGCAGTTAAATATCACACAGCTTAAGAATTTCTAATTAAAATATCTCTACATGTCAGCATATTGGTAATGTATTATTTTAATCCATTTATTTTGTTTATGAAACAGTGACATATGTTTAGATTGTGAAATATATGAGCCTTAAAAATCATTTTATTGAAGAAAATTAATTCCTACAATGCTGTCTCGGTAATGTGTTCACTCACCCAGTCAGTCACTGGCGGCACTGCCAGTCTTAATGTTGGGTCGACGTACTCACCAGTTTTATCTGCATAGCAGTCTTGGGAAGAAGCAATAACAGTTCTTTTCCTTAGCTCCAAACGACAAGGCTTTCTTTCTTTACTTTTTTTTCTTACTCATTAATTCAAACCTATCCCCCCAAAACACTTTTCGTTGCTTCTATTTTTTTTTTTTTTTAAATACAAAGAAGGATGGAACAGAGTGCGTCTGTGAGGGATTCTGAAAGACCAATAAAAATTAAAAACAAGCTAGTTACCTTTTCAAAGTCAGACATGGTAATTTGTTTGTCAGCAGGGAGATGTTTGGGTCAGCCCTGAGGTACAGTGACTGTCAGCAGTTATTCCTACAAGACAAGTCATTTCACTCAATGTATTACTGACAGATTGCTCACTTCTCTGAATCACTGGAAAAAACAAACTTAATATTGTTACAGGCAGAGTTTCTGTCTTCATTAGCCTCAGAGAATGATTTTTATCGAGCATTCAAAGCCTACCAAGCTTTAGTTGGAACATATTTTAACACACACGTTCCTATAATGATAGTTGGGCAGTAGTCTAAATGAAAGGAATTAAATATGAAAAATTTAATAAAAAAAACAATATAAATGCGTTTTCACTTTTATTTGATGGGCACTATGCATAGTTTAGGGGAGATGTGAGGAAAGGAGTATAATTGGAGCCTTAAAACACTAGGAAAACCTATCAAACATAAGTTATTCTTAAATGAAACTATTAAAATCTTGCCAAGTTTGCAGAGATGGAGAACAATTGAAGTTTTTGCAAAAGCGAATAGGAACACATATTTTATTTAAACGATATTGACAGTTTTCCTGCTGCACAGGGGAAGCGAGGAAGTGCCCGTGGGCGCTGAGAACGGCTCCCTGCTTCAGCGCCAGCCGCGTCTGCACGGCGCTGTACTTGGGGCTCCTCCTGGCTTCTTGGCTGCAGCTGTACACAGGCCTCTGCCGCGGGGGTGAGAGGGTGAGCCGGCTTTGCTGGGGGGCTGGCGAGGTCGTGGCTTCCGAGAGCGCTGAAAGAAGGGTTGATTAGAGCGACCTATTGCTGGCTTCCCAGTGAAGAGAAAGGAATGCACTGATTCAAAGTTTGCTTTGAGGATGCCAACCGTGGGGTTGTGCTTTGAGGAGAAATGCTTGCTCTCTCGTAATCAGCCTTCCCTCACCCCCTTGGGCTTTGAGAGTGTGATGGGCCTTGGGGGACCATTATAGCTAGGATCCCATGAGACGGGGACTAATGGGTGAGCTCCACTTTGGAGTCAGTTTATTGGATTAAAGTTTCCATTATTACTTAGTTGCCATGTTGTCCTGTACTGGTCTCAAATTACCTTCTTTTTATAGTTTGTTCATTGTAAAAAGTGGATATTTATTCTCAGGGTTTTTGTGAATAGTAAGTGGGATTATGAGGTATGTGTTAGATTTCCACAGAAAAGAAAAATAATGAAAATA